GCCTTTAACCCCGGCCTCAGATGTGGGTCGTCCATCCCGGCCGGAGCGGAGCTTCAGCAGGAAGCCCCACAAAGCTCCGGCCAAGCTCTTATTGGGGTGCTGCCTCCAGGCTGGGTCTCGGCTGTGTCGCTTTGCTGCCTTCCTGGCTCTCCACAACCGCAACACAGTCAGCGAGTACTGGAACAACCATCCCAGCACGATGACCAAAGAAGCGAGGAAGAGACCCACCAGGCACAGCCAGCTCAACTCCTGGAGCTCCATCACCGCCTCCAGCAGCCTCTCATATCATCAGCTCCAGATGGAAATAACAGGACTGTGAGTGGTGAGCAGATCAGCTGCTTTCAGCCTGCGAGTGGCAGCAAACAGACGGTCGCGTTGATTACCGGTAATGGAGAATTTACACCGTGGTTATAACGACAAGAACCAATTTTCTTTTTTTTTCTTTTTTTAGGTCAAAATAAAAATTTGTATTAAATTAAATTAAAGATTAGGCTGTATATTTAAAAAAAACTACTGCGTTTGCGCCATGCATGTATATAAAACATCTACACGATATCTAATAATAATATACAGAAAAGTCACATAACGTAGCTTCATACCAAGCTGAAGTTTAAGCGGTCCGAGCTGCAGGCTGCAGGTAATCGAAAACAAATGAAGCCGTGTTCATGGCGATATGGAGCGCTTCCAACAACAACTGTGTCTGTCCCATCTTCGAGCGCTTAGCGATGCTTCAGTGTGTTTGTTGTCATCTGTCGATCCCAACACAAGCCTCCAGCTCTCCGCCTGTGCGATACGGGCTCCGGCGCATTTAAAATCTCCGCTGGTCTCAGCTCCTTCCTCCGCAACCCCTCCACGGCGACGATTTAACAAACAACAGCATCGGCAGACAGGTGGCGCTGCAGGGGACGGACTCATCAAAAAAACGGAAGCTGGTCGGACCTTTCAAAATAAAAGGAGGACACAAAACGGCGTTTGTGTGTGGAGGTTTTTTTTTTTAAATAAATGTTTAATGTTTCAAGCACGAATACAAATATGGCAATTACTGTCAAAAGACGCAATCAATTGCCAGAGAGAACAGTGAATACTATAACAATGTAAACATGCAAAATAAAAGACTGCTACACAGATGCAAGCACACCAACAGTATGTGATATTAAATTAAATATCACACTGGGAAGAGAGAAAAAAAACAAGAGGAGATACATTTTATCTCAGATATCCAAATCAGTGGGAAGGTGCTTTAAAATATCACACGGTTTTGTGGTTTATTACCTTAAAGTAATTTTAAAGGTTTAATATATCATTTCAATTCATGTAAGAAAATAACAATTTTGGCAATTTTGTAATCCTACTTTTGTGTATGAAAACTTTGGCTATGTACAAAATAACATTACAACACAGTTTGTCATTCTTACCTTGTCAAATCAAACCAGATGCTGTACTGTGGGGATTGAGGAAATCTTTGGTTTCATCCATTTCTCAACATTAAGCAAGAATTTCTGTTTGCGCAAAATGAGCACATGTTCTCATTAATACTGAATCATACTCTAAGTAATTCTTTATAAGGATAGATGTCATTCATTATCTAAAAATATGTTATCAATTGAATGTAGAACTGTGCCATACTTATTTACTTGGCATCGATCTGCTACCAAGTAAACACAGGGCCAGTCTCGCTGATACCAATACTAATACTTTTAAACTATAAAGCCAGATTAGGGAGAGTAGTGTGTCATGACTTATGGGGTGAATCAGCATTAATTTGCAAATTCTGAACCCATTCTAATTAGCACTAAATCACAATTAGTTAATACAACAAAACACACCTTTCAAATTCTTATATAGTGTTTGTTTTTGGAGACCAGGAATATAAATGTGCCTGTCGCTTTAAAAGACAGCCTTTGTTCTTTAAATGTGCTATAGGCAATAAATAAAATAGATGTGACAGTCAACACAAAAAATGCTCAGGCATTTTTCATAGTGCATGTTTGCTTTTTGTGACTTTCATCAGCTAAATACAAAATCAGGTTCTGTGTTTCTAAATAATCAGTTACCAAGTCATTGAAGGGCAAAATGTCTTTGTGTTTACTGTATGCTGTTCTCACATGGCGAAGACTCATATGCACCATATGTCAGTCTACGTCCCTACCCTTACCTATGGCCTCTGGTGAACCTTGTCCACTCCAGTGGCCTTGCCACAGGAAGTTGTTTAACTGCCTCAGTTGCCTTGCCCCGTTGATGGACGAGTCGTCCCGCTCGTACCCGGACTCTGCTTCCACTGAAGAAGTGTCAGTGGGATTAAGGAGCTCCTCAAGTATTTCTTCCACCACCAAATAATAGAGTCGCCTGACAGTTTGCTAGAATCTCTTCGAGGCAGTCTGAAAGTCTTTTTCCATGACCTCTCTAAACTCCCCCCAAACCCGGGTTTTTGCTTCAGCTACTGCCCAATTCGCATTCTGCTTGGCCTGTCGGTACTTATCAGCTGCCTCTGAAGTCCCACAGGCTAACTGGCTTGGTTAGCCTGTGGGACTTCAGAGGCCTGATGGTTCCCTTCACCTCCAGTGTCCACCATCTGGTTCAGGGGTTACCACCACAACAAGCACCAACCACCTTGCGGCCAGAGCTCAGTGCACAACTTTCACCAATGGAGGTGCTGAACATGATCCATTCAGACTCAATGTCCCCAGTCTCCCTCGGAACGTTGTCAAAGCTCTCCTGGGACCTCTGCTGGGTGTTGGCAGCGCACCCACACTATGTTTTGGCGCCCTAGGTCTATCCAGCATCTTCCCCCGCCACCTGATCCAACTCATAACCAGGTGGTGATCAGTTACCAACTCACACCTCCCTTCACCTGAGTGTCCAGAACATATGACTGCAGATCTGATGATACAATTACAAAATTCATCATTGACCTGCGGTTTAGGGTGTCCTGGTGCCATGTGCACTTATGGACATGGTGTTTGTTAAGTCCAGTAACAGAACAGGGCTTCAGATCTGGCAGGCTGTTACATCCAATTATGCCCCGCCAGGTCTCACTGTCATTGCCCACATAAGCATTGTCTCCCACTAAGAGGATGGCGTGCCCAGGTGGAGCATTCTCAAGCACCTCACCCATGTACTCCAAGAAAGCTGGGTACTCTAAACTGTCATTCGGCACAAAAGCGCAGATGACAGTCAGGACCTGTTCCCTGATCTGAAGGTGCAGTGAACAAACACTCTCTTCCACCAGGGTAAAGCTCCAATATACAGGCAGCAAGCCAAGTGGATACTAGTAATGACTATGTGTTGTTTCTATATATACTTCACTACTAAAGACATTTTGTATTGTGTCGAATCTCATCTGAATCTCACAGTTCATCAGAACAGTTTTTAGCTCATTTGTCATTCAGAGCTACAGATCTCTCACTTCCCTTAATGCTACTTTATCTCAATGGCTTTGGTGCAGTTCTCATATCAGGAAAGTCATTCTCACACCTCACCTTTTTACTGTAATCAGATCACTTAAAACATTTTTCAAATTGTAACACTAATTAACCCTTCAGAACTGCTTTAAGTCTTCATGATGCAGGTTTAACAAGGTGCTGGAAACATTTCTCTGAGATTTTGCTTCATATTGAAATAATAGCACCACACAGTTGCTGCAGGCTTGTCATTCGCTCATCCAGGTTTCCCTTAAAATGTCCTTTACTGGACTGAAATCCAGACTGTGAAGACCAGCCCATCTGGTACCAACAACCAGTTTCAGTCACCTTTCTTCCACTATTCTAATGCTCAGTTTGAACTTCAATAGGCTGTCTTCGTGATGTCTACATCGGGGACTCTTCACCATCTTCAAGTAACTTAAAGAAGTCCAGATACTTTTATTTTCAAGCTCCTTAGACTACAATGACCTGGATGGCTGAGAACCTTCACAGACATCTACATGTTTAAATGCTTTGAGCTGCTGACATGTGATTAGATAATTAGATGTTTGGATTAACAAGCACTTGAACATGCATACATAAAAAGTGGCTGCTGAAGGTGTGTAGCATGACTTTACTGGAGTATACAGCAGTTGGTTTTATGTTCTCAGATTTTCTTTGTCTCTTTTCTGATAGGAAAGAGACAGTACCAATTCGCTTTTCTCAATTTCGGCCATTTAAAGTTTCAAATAAATTGGTACATATTTTTTCGCACATACGTCATTTTTATGATAAAATTCTGCCACCTGTTGACAAAACAAATGCTTTCTCTCTTTTGTATAATGTATATTTTTCTTCTGTTGCTGTTTAGTAATATTTTTGTAGGCTATAGGTTATGTTGCATATATTTATTTCTTCTCTATTCTATTCATTTTGATATTATAATAGTAAAACCTTCCCAAGTGAGGGACTTATCTCATCATATCATATCTTTAATCAATACTGAAAATTGATTTCATATATATATATATATATATATATATATATATATATATATATATATATATATATATGAAATCAATTTTCAGTATTGATTAAAGATATGATATGATGAGATAAGTCCCTCACTTGGGAAGGTTTTACTATTATAATATCAAAATGAATAGAATAGAGAAGAAATAAATATATGCAACATAACCTATAGCCTACAACAATATTACTAAACAGCAACAGAAGAAAAATATACATTATACAAAAGAGAGAAAGCATTTGTTTTGTCAACAGGTGGCAGAATTTTATCATAAAAATGACGTATGTGCGAAAAAATATGTACCGAAGAAGAAGATTTCACTTCCGCGTCAATACAGATGTCGGAAGTCAAAGTTAGTATTTTCTGTATACTTTATACAATAAGAGTATACAGAAATCTCTCAAAAACTTATCAAAATTTCAGATATTCTGTAAATAATGCAAACATTGAAACTTACACACAATAGGTATTTTATTCTATTGAAAGCTCATTTTAGCGTTAAAAACGGGTTCGAGAGAGAGACGTTATGGGCCAATAACGTTTTATTTTGAAAACCCCAATCGGAAGTCCCATCTCGTTGTATGTTGTGTGACTTAACGGTTGAACTAATGTCAGACGTGGAGTTTAGACAGCCAGGCAATGCAGAGCTAATAAAATTTACAAGTCGTAATGACAGATGGTATGGATTACCACTGTGACTCGAGGACTTATAGACTTGTGGATTTTTTTTGACCGTGGAATTACAGAGACGCCTTTTGTTCTGAAATGATGGCTTGATATGTTTCTCGTACCTCGGTGATCACAGTCAGAGCCAATCCGTCGACCGCCCGCAGGGAAGCGGCGTCACAATAGCTACAAACGTGATTTTGATCTGGCAAAAACCAATTCGCCAAAAGCCCGAAATAATGTCACCCATACCCGTCCTTCCGCTGGTCATCAACTGCTTCATGTCTGTGCTCGGCTGCTTGGCCACACTGAAACTCATTCCGGCTTTCAAAGATCATTTCATATCAGCCAGATTATACGGAGTGGATCTAAACAAAACATCCAAAAAGGAAGTGTGAGTCGTCTCCCTGTCTGTCCTTTTAGCTACACGGCTTTCAGCTTAAATGACATATTCAGTAAAATATGATAATAAATTGTTTTCCTTTTCACTCCCCTTTCTTTACAGTCCAGAGTCTCAAGGAGTCATCAGTGGGACTGTCTTCCTCATCATCCTTTTCTGTTTCATCCCAGTGCCTTTCCTCAGCTGCTTTGTTGGAGATCAGTGCATGGGCTTCCCACATGATGAGGTGAGTACACTGATGTGCAATGACCCCGTGTTTCTTTCCAGTCTGAACCTCACGTCTGACCTTTGTGTGCGTTGTTTTTGCCAGTTTGTACAGCTCATCGGTGCACTTCTAGCCATCTGTTGCATGATCTTCCTTGGTTTTGCCGATGATGTGCTCAACCTCCGGTGGAGACACAAGCTCTTGCTTCCCACCATGGCTTCCTTGCCACTGCTCATGGTCTATTTTACCAACTTTGGCAACACTGTCATAGTGGTGCCCAAGCCCTTCAGAGCACTGCTCGGACTGCACTTGGATTTGGGTGAGTTGTGTGGTTGTCCGCTGTTCTTTGTCTGGATTCACTGCTTTGAAGTCTTCCTTTAAATGGTGTTTCGTCATTTCTTCTGCAGGCATCCTGTACTATGTCTACATGGGAATGCTTGCTGTATTCTGCACAAATGCCATCAACATCCTAGCAGGCATCAACGGGATCGAATCAGGCCAAGCTCTGTTTATCTCGGGCTCCATCATCATATTTAACCTTCTGGAGCTCAGCGGTATGCGTTTTCGTTTCCCGTCACACGTGTGCAGAAGCTGGACATATTTTGTGTAACATGTGGTTCTTTGCACTTTCTTCTTATTATTAGGAGATTACCGCGATGACCACGTTTTCTCCCTCTACTTCATGATACCGTTCTTCTTCACCACATTAGCGCTTATGTACCACAACTGGTAAGATAAGTCTACCGAACTCGGGAAAGTTAACATATATTTTCTGCAATCAAAAACAAAGAGCTATATGTGCAAGTCCCCCTCTAGCATGGTGATTGTAATCTGTTTTGTCACAGGTACCCTTCATCTGTGTTTGTGGGAGATACTTTCTGCTACTTTGCTGGGATGACCTTTGCTGTAGTCGGCATCCTGGGACACTTCAGCAAAACAATGCTGCTGTTCTTCATTCCTCAAGTGGTTAACTTTGTCTACTCCGTACCACAGCTGTTTCACATAATCCCCTGTCCCAGGCACCGGCTCCCGAGGTGACTGCCTGATTATGAACATCATTTATATACGATTCTACCCTGTTCATATGTGTATTGCTCAACTTTTTCTTTCTTCCAATGCTCCTTCTAACTAAAGGTTGAACCCAGAAAATGACAAGCTGGGGATGAGCTACTCTAAATTCAAAACAAAGGACCTCTCTAAGTTAGGCCACCTCATTTTGACGGTAAAGCTTTTCTTTTGCGTTTTCTCTGTTTGAGTATTCCCATGCTTTAATAGAAATTCTCCTAAACTAAGCTGTAAATCATGTCAGCTGCTGGTCTTGTCCCATCACAACTCAAAGAGGAAAGCACCAAATCCAGACTTTTGATAAGATGAAATGAGGAAATCTTTATGAATATAATTATCTAATTGCTTTGGGCAATGAAGCTGATTGTTTCTGCTCCAATTGCCTCGCGCTGTCAGCGTCCGTTATTAAAACCCAGACGCATTATTTGGTTGTGACGCAGAACACATTTTCTCATACACTGTATGACAGAGTCCCGTAAAATACTCACTGCACTGACTGCTTCCATAAAAAAAATAACAGGGTAAATAGCAGCCAGGTGCTGCTGATCAAATGGGCTTAATTAATTGTTCATCATCAAGTGTGAGCGCCTCTATAAAAGCAGACGTGTTGGCAGTTTGCTGGTGTGAAGCATTCAGATGCTTGTTAACAAAACGCCAATGAGAGAAAGATATAAGCATTAATGGCAGAGAAGCAATTGTTGCTGCCCATCAGTCTGAGATGGGCTATAAAGTCATTTCCAAACAATTGAAGTCCATCATTCTACAGTTAGTCTTCTCACGCGTTCCAACAGATTCAATCCGTGATCACATAATACAGTTTTCAGAGAAATAATAATAAAAAAAAACCCAGCAATATGGCCAAATATGGCTGTGCATGATATGGCTGTGCATGATATCCCTCCAAGTGTCACGCACGGTAACGGTGAAGTCATTCAGTCAGCCATGAATGCCTCTGTATACCAAAGTGTACTAGAGCCAAATGTGAGGCCACATTTAGCTGTCTGTTCTGTTGCATGACCCAAATGATCCCAAGAACAGCAGCAAATCTAACCTAGAAAAAAAAAGATAAAGCAACAAGCAATAAGAGTGGGCCAGAATTCTTCTACATTAATGTGACTGACTGATAAATCCATACAGAAAACAATTAAAAGTAGTTCTACGATGTAATGAATCACAGGGAGCACTTAGTTTTTCACAGCACTGCATACAGGTTGTACCGCACATCTCAGCACACCTAGATTTGGCACATAATAATTATGCCCATGGGACAGGTTACATGCAACATAAAAAAATGACAACGAACCATATGTATCAACCTGAAAATCAGATGAATTAATCCAATACATTAATTTGCTTAATTAAAAAAATTGGAGAAGTTGATAATAACTCACAAGTTTGGATATCATGTATGAACGCGCACACACACACAGCTGAGGCAGACCACTAGCATGCGTCGGGCTGTGTTTACTGGCTGATAACAATAAAACCTTTAATCCTCAACAGGTGGCAGAGTTATTAAAGCTGCTCGAGGTGCGCAGAGGCCATGAGGGGGATGGTGATTTTATTGAGTGCAACAACATGACCTTAATAAACCTGGTGCTGAAAGTACTCGGACCCGTCCACGAGAGAACTCTCACAGTCATCATGCTCGTCATACAGGTATAACAGAGCACCTGCAGTATCCACATATGCCTGAATATTGTCAGCCATAAAATGTTTGACTCGCCTCTCATTTCTGCGTCTCACTCAGGTGATGGGCAGCGCAGTGGCTTTTGGGATCCGTTATCATCTCGTCCGTCTCTTCTATGACGTCTAGATTACCGGGACTGAGGACGGAGTGCTGACTGAGGAAAATATGATACTGCTGTGGAACTATTTTACAGGCTCACTGTTCATTTGCCTTTTAATAGTTTCCACTACCTCACTGACATTTTTCATATTCAGACTCTTTCTGCAGTAAAGACCCAGAGCAAGGGTTAAAGCTTTATTTAACTTCACCACAACATTTTCATATATATGTACAAGCAGAACGGCTAATGATTTGATGCCAACAGTAGCGCTCTCCTGGGATTCAGTCATTACAGTCAGGGAAATGTAACTGGGTCTTAATCACCCCACGTGTTCACCCTGAAAGTATATTTTTATACTTGGTTTTTAAAAAGAAAGTCTGTCAAGTTTTGATCTTCGGTGTAGCAGACATCGCTGACTTGCAAACGTAGAAATCCTCTAAAAACTGGTCAAATATTCACATGTTCACATACTGCTTTAACCTGCTGTTGAGAGAAAATGTGCCTACTTACACTTTAATGCAGTTATGGTAGGAATATTAAACTCATTTAGTGCTTCTTGGTTGTTTCTTTTCCCTCTCAACAAAAGTCACAACAACAAAATGATTGTTGTGAAGAACAGCAGTGAAATATCAAAGGAGTGTAGTCATCAATAAAGTGTGAGGAGATGATTAAATAGAGGTCATGAAGTCACATGACCACGTCCTGATTGTGGAAAAAGCACATCCCGATTAAAGATAACTGATCGTCTTTGCTTTTCTTTCATCAAATATATAGCCGTGTTGTTTAGGACTGAGCATCATCCCAACGGTTTCAGAAAGAGCATCAACGTGAAGTCAACTGGCACTGGACTTTTTTTATTTAGGAATGTAATTACAAGTGCAAAACTGTTTACTGAGATTGAAGGCACAGATTATCAAATAAAAACGGGAAAAATGATGATGTAAGATTGTGTTGTATTAATACTTGGGAGAAAGTGTGCTAAATTATAGTGCTTAAAGTGCTTCCGTTATAGTTCAGAAATGGGACCAAGTCACAGTTTGTGTGGTTTTACCTCTCTCATGCTGAATTGTAACACAAGCAATCAATATACAATTGAAGTGCAGACATTTTACCAAAAATTAGCATTACCTGTTTACCCATTGTATACAAATAGCTGAAAGGGAGGACATGCAGAAGGTTGGTGAGACAGAAGAGAGTGTTAGGGTTAGATTGAGGCAGGTGATCCGCTGTGGCGACGCCTAACGGGAACAGGTTGTGGGTTGTTTGACATGGAAGACCCAAAGAGTCACTCACCTCAAAACAGAACATTTTGTGCTTTATTAATGAATTGTGCAATGAAATGTGCGCTAGTAAAATCTTTTACCAAATACTTTTTCATAATCTTTAATTAGACATCACTAAATTTATGATTAAAGCACAAAATACTTTGATTTTGATGTGTGGAATTCTTCTGGTCTTCCATAATTGTAAGCGTGTAGTAAGGTGATATTTTTGCCTTTAAAATGTACACAGTGTCCAGTAGTATAAAATAAAATTATAGGAGCATAAATGCCCTAAATTTATACTTAAGTAAAATATTTGAATAAATGTCAATAAAAATGAAGATTTATTGTAAATATCTTCCAATTGTTAACTGTAAATACAAAAAGGAATTTTTTTGAGTAGGAACTATTTAACTAAACTTTGTTTCAAGGGGAACGTCGGTGTTGTTGCACAGCCCGCGTTTGTGGACGGAAGAAGAACAGGTCCGATGAATACGAGCTCTCTTTTAACGCTGTCGTGAAGCTTATAACAATTTATTCTTTTAGCTTAATTAAACAGTTCTCTGTTGGTGTTTCAGCAACACCGTGGAGACTGTTTAATGTAAGCTAGCAGCTTAGTTGCTGGGCGGTCAGGTGATGGTCAAACAGCGTTTGCGACTTCGGTCCTGGAGCGAAACGTTTGACATTTAGTCCAGTTGTGACTCGGAGAGATGCCTCCTAACAAGCGAATGCAGAAGAAAGCACTCAAGCTGGAGTGTGAGTGGGGTTCATGCCAGGAATCATTTAATCGGATGGAAAACTTTTGCAAGCATGTGGAGGGTCATCTAAGTGCTTTGGAAGAAGAGGAGGAGGAAGAAGAAACAGAGGGTGAGGTGAAACGCAGCTTCGTGTACGTGTGGCACCTCCATAGCTGAGGTGTTTGTTTTGGAGATGTAGCGTGAGGAGCTGGACAGGAACGTGTTTTAATGATTTGGTTCAATAGGCCTTAACCAGTGTGGCCTCACTTACTGCACGTCTAGACCACCACTAGAAATGACGAGAGCTTTTACCCATCTGCTGCTTATTCATAACATTTGGCCACTAGATATTGAATTGGATTAATTTACTTAACTTTGCTGACATCCAAAGTCCTGATGATAAACAAGGCATTCAGATCAATAAGTCATACTGATCCTTTGCCCAAAGTGATGATTCCTCCTAATCTAGTCTCTTTTACTTTTTGTGCAAAGGGGAGAGAAGCTGTCTGTGGAGAGACTGTGGTTTTTGCTCCGTGGAGGGATCTGAAGAGTTGCGGCGACACGTGTTCTTTCACTGTTATCACACTAAACTAAAGCAGCTGGGTCAGCAGGTTCTCAGTGCCCATCCAAAAATCGGCAACTGCTCCATCGCCTACCACAATCGCAACATCATCCCTGAAATCCCAGATAATTTTGTCTGCCTTTGGGAGGAATGTGAAGTAAGTTTGCTGTATCTGCTGCTGGTGAAAGACAAGAGTAGCAGATACATTGAGCATTGATGGAGCTTTCCCAAATCTTATGCTGCCAGTTCTATAGACACTAATGCTACTTCATAACGTGAGAGGTCTAGGGTTTTGAACCGAAGCCTGAAAACAAGCTGGCTAGTCTCTCCACTGTTCACTCCAGAGAACATGACATTCATGTTTTCCAAAAAGAATTGCAAATGTTAATTCGTCTGGCATCAGAAAAGGTCTCCGCTTTGCTTCACTCGATTATAAATGAGGTTTGGCCCAGAGAAGACGGCAGTGTTTTGGATTATGTTCATAAATGGCTTTTTCTTTGCATGACAAAGCTTTAATCTGCTTTTGTGGATGGCACTGTGAACTGTGTTCAGATCTCTGTTAGTGTTCCTGAACCCAGTATTTCTGAGTTTGTAAATGATCTGTGTAGTAGAGTTAAACTAATAATACATGTGGCTCTGTAACTCTCTTAATGCACATCTGTTAAAGCAACCACCGTATGAAAACCCTGAGTGGTTTTATCGCCATGTGGAAATGCACAGCCTGTGCATAGAGATACCTACAGGAGACTGTGAAATCCCGATACGCTGTGGATGGAAAGGTACGCTTACAGTGTTTGTTTTTTTTCAACTGTAAATGTTAAGTGAAGATTGTACAGCTGTACATTTTCAGTGTCGAGCTGAGGATTTCAGACTTTTGAATCCAGGTTTTGTGCCTGTCATTTTCAGACTGTGAAGCGACTGCTAAAGGCCGTCCTAAGCTGCGAGAGCACCTGCGCAGCCACACTCAGGAAAAGGTGGTGGCATGTCCCGGCTGTGGGGGGATGTATGCCAACAATACAAAGCTGTTTGACCACATCATACGACAGAGCGCCATGGAAGGTATATTCTGTCAGATTTATGAAATTAAGCTTAGTAATGTTAAAAAAAAACCTTTCATAATCGAACAATCTGTGTCGTGTCACATAGGTCAGAGGTTCCAGTGCTCACACTGCTCCAAACGTTTTGCAACAGAAAGACTTCTGAGGGACCACATGAGGACCCACGGTCAGTTATGCTTCATTGTGCTTTTTTTTTTTTTTACACATGAGCTTATGCCATGATAGAGCTGGGCGATAGAACGATAACGATATGTATCGCGATATAACTTTTACTCGATAGAGAAATTAAGCTATCGCGATAGACCTCGCCGCTCTTGTCCTCAAAAAAA